ACTTGTACCCTTTCTTTGCTTTTTTTTCTTTTCTCCTTAAATAAAATTTAAATAAAATAAAAAAAAAAAAAGAAAAGTATGATGAATGTATGGTGTGTGTGTGTCTTCCTTTGTACTGTCATGGCTGCCTCAATGTTGTGAATTGATTAAAAACTTTTTTTACATTTCATGGTTATTTTGATATTGGGGACAAACCGGAAGTCACAGGGTGCCAGATCTGGTGAATAAGGTGATGAGGATACACCATAATATTTTTAGGAGCCTGCCTTTTATTGGATGGCACCCAATAGCACTGTTAAGTTTTTTTTTTTGGTATCAGTAATCAAACTCATGACCTTGTGCCTTCCAGAAAGGTGCTGTGCTGCTGAGCTATTTCCCTGGCCCTTTACTGAGTTTTTGATCTCATCTCCCAAAGATACTAAGTTGGTCTTCCATTCCCCTCTCTTTCTCCCTCTTTCTCCCAGTTTCTTTTTGAGACAGGCTGGCCTTGAACTTACTGTGTACTCTAGGATGCCTCAAACTTGCAGAGATCCTCCTGTTTTTTAGCCTGAGTGCTGAGATCATGGGCATGCACTAGCATGCTAGCTTTTTTTTTTGAGACAGGGTCTTGCTATGTAGTGCAGGCTGGCTTTGAACTCTCTATGTAGCCCAGGCTGTCCTGGAACTCACAGCAATCCTCCTGCCTCAGCCTTCCCGGTGCTGGGATTACAGGCACGTGCCACCACATCCGGCACAGCGTGCTAGTTTTTGAGGTATTGTTTCAGCAAAGCAACATTAAAAGGATGAAAAAATGTTTTAATTGCATTTTGTTAAATATATGTGTATACTGTTATATATATATGAAGTGTTTATATATATATATATATATATATACACATAAAATTAAGCATAAAACACTAGAATGATGCTACCATAATATTTTGGTGAAAACAGGTATGTTATATATGTTTACAGGTTTGATCTGTTGGTGCGAGCAAGGAGAATTGCAAAAGGCTACTCAGCAGGCTCTTCATTTTGATCATATCAGGGGTTTGATGTGGGGATAATTAGCTTTCTCTTTTTTAAAAGTATAACAAAGTTTTATTAAAGATAGAAAAAGAAACAGGCTTCACTGAATGAGTTCGTGTCAGATAAAAGTAGGAAAAGAAATACACCCTGTAGTTTGAGGGCGGGCCAATATGGAGGAGTGAACACAGTGGCCAGCTTTATTTCAGTACATCCTTGTACTGCAGTGTTTTCCTGGTTCTAACATACGTTTACTATTTTTGAATTTGATGAACAACAAATAAAGGAATTTTTTTAAATTAGAGAGATTAAAAAGAAGAAGCAATATCAGTAAAAATACCTTTTAGACCAGGCATGGTGGCACATTCCTGTTATCCAAGCGCTCATGATGTTGAAGCCGAAGGAGTGCCATGAGTTCAAGGCCAGCCAGAGCTACATAGTGAGTTCAAGACTAACTTGAACTGCATAACCTGAACTAGTCCCTGTCTAAACAAACAAACAAACCCCAAAAAAGACAAAATATCTTTTGAATCATGTAAAAAAGCAATCTCTCTTCACAAAATGGACAAAAGGACTAAAGGAAAATGGCACTCAAAACAGAGACATTGAGAAGGAGACAATTTTTTTTTTCTAAAAAAGAGTAACTATGAGAAGTGATGCATATGTGAATTAGTACATCCTTGTATTACAAGGATGAATCCTGGCAACTGTTCCTCAAGGCGTAAGTGTATAAAATCATGTTTCATGCTTTAAATATATAGTATTCAATTTTATTTGTTAAACACACCTCTTTAAAGCTGGCAAAAATGATTCTTATTCTAATACCAAACTAGAAATAATGATATGAAACTGTACAAAGCTGAAAATAATGTTATCAGATGATACGAAACAATAAGCCATAGAATTTTCAACCTGAAAAGCACTGTTGATGAGGGATTATCTGAAAACACATTACTTAAAGCAGAGCTTAAATATACTTGGCATTTTAAATGAAAAATAGATGATTGACTTACAGTTACATGATTGCATTTTTTTTGTCTTTTTCCTTTTTATTGGTACCGGGGATCAAACTCACGACTGCCTGCTTGCAAGGCAGGTGCTTATGCCACTGAGCTAAATCCCCAGCCCCTCATGATTGCTTTTTAAAAAAGGTATCCCACAATGTAGCCTGTTATGGCTTGTATGTAGTTGTCTCCCCAAAGCCTCATGTGCTCATAGGTGGGACTTTTTGGAACTGGCTAGATCTAGTGTTGTGTATGTGGATTAAGGGTGTGTGGTGGTGCTAAATTAGTCTGCTGATAGTTTAGCATAGTTTTGTGTGGATGATGGGCACCACCCACAAGGTTTGTAGCATGGATGGAATAAAAGGGAAAGGGCGGCTGGCTGCTGCTGCTCCCTGCCTTCTCCCTGTGTTGCCAAGTACTGTGTCTCCTCTGCCATGCCACCTTGCCTTAGAGTCAGCTGAGTATGGACCAAAAACTGTGAGGTAAAATGAACTGTTCCTCCTTTAATGATTCGTGCAGGTATTTTTTCTCAGCAATGAGAAAAGTAACTAAGACATAGCCCTAATTGTAAAGATGCAGTCAGCAGGAATAGTAACAGGAAAATAATACAATGACAGGATTAAAGCAGTAATTTTTAGTATTAACCCTCAATGTAAATGGCATGAATTTCCCAAACAAAAGACACAGATTGGCAGAATGGATCAAAATCCAAAACCCAACAACAGGCTTTATAAAATAAATGCATTTAGTTCAAAAAGAAATTCATATACTACTGTCAAGGGATGGAAAACAATATTTCATACAACAGAAGGCCAGAAACAAGTAGTAGTAAATATTCTACTTATAGACAAAGTGGACTACAAGCCAATACTGATTAGATGAAGTAAAGATCACTACATATTGATTAAAGGAATGATACAACAGGAGAGATAAACTTATACAGGCAAAAAAGCACTGACATTGCTAACTTTATAAAATAAATACTACTGTAAAAGATCAGATAAACACAAATAAAATTATAATTGGGGATCTCAATAACCCACTATCACAAATAAATCAACTAGACAAAAAATCAACAAAGAAATCTGAGTTGAACCACACCTTTGAACAAATTCATGACCTCAAGCCTGCCAGGCAGGTACTCCTGTCACTGAGCTAAATCCCCAGCCCCTGAACAAATGGTCTTAATGGATATCTACAGTGTGCCACCTAACAAAAGAATACACATTTTTCTTAGTAGCATGTACAGTTTTCTTCAAAATAGACTACATAGTCTGTTGTTTTTTAAAAAATCTTTTATTAATTTATTTGTTTAGGTACCAGGGATCAAACTCATGACCTTGAATTTGCCAGGCAGGTGCTTATGCTGCTGAGCTAAATCTCCAGCCCATTTTTTTTTTTTTTTTTTTTTTGGGTATCAGTGATCGAACTCGCAACCTCATGCTTGCCAGGCAGGCACTTAGGCCACTGAGCTAAGTGCCTGGCCCCATACTCTCTCATAAACCTTGCATAAGTAAATACAAAAGAATAAAAATTATCCCATGCACATTTTCAGATTATAGTGAAATGAAACCAAAAATCAATAGCAAAAGAAATCACAGAAAGTATATAAGTATATGGAAATTAAACAATACACTCTTGGATAACCAATGGATCACAGAATAAACTAAGGAAGAAACTTTTTTTTTAATATAATTTCTTTGTCTTTTTCTTTTTTTATCAGTACCAGGGATCGAACTCATGACTGCCTGCTTGCAAGGCAGGCACTTATGCTGTTGAGCTAAATCCCCAGCCCCTAAGGAAGAAACTTCTAAATCAAATCCACGCAAATGATAATACCAGTTTATAATACCAGAATCTATGTGACACAAAGCAATCCTATGAGGCGAGTTCATAGTTGTAACTGCTCACATCAGAAAAACAGTGTGAGTCCAAATAAAAAACCTAATGATGTATCTTGAAGTCCTAAGGAAACAAGAACAATCTATATCCAAAGCTAGTACAAAGAAGGAAATTATAAAGATCAGGGCATAAATAAATGAAATTGAGACTAAAAATCGATCCAGGTGTGGTGGCACTCATCTGTAATCTCAGCACTCGGGAAGCTGAGAAAGATCACCAGGAGTTCAAGGCCAATTTGCCACATAGTGAGTTCAAGGTCAGGCTGAACTGCATAACTAGACAGAGGTGGGAGGTGGGGGTGTAGGTGGGAATCAATGAATCAAAGAAATGGTTCTTAGAAAGCATAAACAATATGGAAAAATCCTTAGCCAGATTTTTTTTTTATGGGTACCAGGGATCAAACTCACAACCAGGCACTTGCAAGATAGGTGCTTATGCCTCTGAGCTAAATTCCGAGCTCCTTCCTTTAGCCAGATTTTTAAAGGAAGGAAGGAAGGAAGGAAGGAAGGAAGGAAGGAAGGAAGGAAGGAAGGAAGGGGGGAGGGAGGGAGGGGGGAGGGAGGGAGACAGAGAGAGAGAGAGAGAGAAAGAGAAAGAGAGAGAGAAAGAGAAAAAGAAAAAGAAAAAGAGGAGGAAAGGAAGGAAGGAAAACAACCGGGCGTAGTGATGCATGCCCATAATCCCAGTATTCAGGAGGCTGAGGCAAGAAAACTGATGTTTTTGAGGCCAGCCTGGGATACAAAGTGAGTTCAAGGCCAGCCTAAAATGCATAGGGAGATTCTGGTTTACCCAAACCAAACCAAACCCAAACAGCCAAAACAAAGTGGAGAGGTAAGTGGACACGAGGCAGCACCGGGTTTTACGAGTCAAAGAGGAGTAAAGAATAGTTGGGTGCTCTGTAAGGGACCCCTGGTGTCTCAGCTGTCTCTTCTATTTAACAGGTAAATTTGAACAAGTTACTTAAAATGTTAAGACTCAGCTTCCTAGCTGGGAGTGGTGGCATATGTCTGTAATCTCAGTACTCAGGAGGCCGACACAGGAAGATCGCTGCAAGTTTGAGCCAGTCTGGGCTACAAAGTGAGCTTAAGGATCCTTTGGTTCATGAGCATGATGATTGGATGTTCATGACGTATACATGAGATGTGCCTCCCTCAAACCTTTTACAACATTGTCATGTTATCTATCTGACATGAAAAACAAAAAACAAAAAGCAAAGTGAGTATAAGTGCCTGTAACCCCAGCACTCAGGAGGCTGAGGCAAGAAGATCATTGTGACTTTGAGGTCAGCCTGAGATACAAAGTGAGTTCAAGACCAGCCTGAACTGACTAATGAGACCCGGTCTCAGAAAAGAAAGAAAAGACTCAAATCAATGCAGTTAGAAACAAAACAGTAGGGGCTGGGGGTTTAGCTCAGCGGCATAAGCACCTGCCTTGCAAGCAGGCGGTCGTCAGTTCGATCCCCGGTACCGATAAAAATGAAAAAAGACCCAAAAAAAAAAAAAAAAAAAAAAAAAAAAAAAAAAAAGAAACAAAACAGTAGACACCACGGAAAATAACAAAGTTACTAGTATTTGCATAAATGAAAAACCCATATTTATTTATATTCTTTTTAAAGGCAAGATCTCCTTAAATTAAAAAATACTTCATTAGTATATGTTTATAATTCATGCAGTTTGCAATCATCTTGGGGAGTTGTGCCATGTACACATTACAGCTTGCTTATGTTTTCCTTTTCCCCTTCCTCCTCTGGATCCCCATCACCTTTTTCATACCTATTGATACTATTTGTCTTAGCATATGTTATGACTTATACAGTTTACATTGATTGGGGTTTTAGCTTCTTGTACATGGCATATATTCATTCCTCTCATTTCCCCTTCTCCTCCCCCTTACTTCTCTCATTGTTTCCTCAGACCATTTCTCTGTTGGATGAGATCTGTCTCCTTGTTCCTTTGATTATTTTCATTGTTTTGTACTTGGCCTCACTCAAATGAGGGATGTCATACTGTATTCAAAATTGTGTGCCTCTCAACATTATGTTTTCTAGGTGCATCCATTTCCCTACAAGTTCCTCAAATTTGTTGTTCTTTCTAGCTAAGTACTATTCCATCACATATAGATACCACATTTTGTTTATCCAGTCATTTCTTTTTTTTTTTTTTTTTTGTCTTTTTCGTTTTTATCGGTACCAGGGATCAAACTCAGGACTGCCTGCTTGCAAGGCAGGTGCTTATGCCACTGAGCTAAATCCCCAGCCCCTATCCAGTCATTTCTTAATGGATATATATGCTGCTTCCAGGATTTAGCTATTACAAATTGTGCAGCTATAAATGTTGTTATGCAAGTATCACTGTACCATGATGACTTAAACTCTTTGGGGTAGGTAAGTTCCTTTTTTCACCACAGCTATGCCAGTGATTCTTATTTTATTTTATTTGTTGTACCTGGGATTGAACTCACGACCTTCCACTTGTAAGGTAGGCATTTATGCCACTGAGCTAAACACCCAGCCTTTCTTTTTTTTAAATTTTATTTTATTTTTTATTTAAGGAGAAAAGAAAAAAAAACAGTGAAGGGGTACAAGTTATACAGATTTACAGAAGAAAAAAATGCACAGTAGGAAATCACTAGTTAATGGATTACATATTGCCATCTTAGAAATAATTGTTCAAGTCACAAAATTAAAGCTTGTAGAGTGGACATTCCAACAATGATACTGCAAACAGTTCTGTTCAATGATCCAATAAAACTCTGTGATATCATTTTCTATCTTATACACTTAAATATACATGCAGTTATATAGTTTAGAGCACTTTCTTTTCCTCTCTTTTGTACAATGACTATTACACATTTTGGGTTTCATTGCTCCCACGGTTCTTATTGCTTTTTTGGAAGAGAGTAAAACCAAATGTGACATAACAGAACAGAATCGGTCAAGTCAAAAGGGTGGACATAATAGATAATATAAAAACATAATACAAGGTGATCAACAATGGTTACCATAATGCCTCCTGCTATCTCTAATAGAATTGCCTATATCATTAGTTGTAATACAATTGAACAAAACAGTAAAGAACAAAACCGACAAAGCCAAAACATTGGAGACATTGTAGGTCTTCAAAAGTAGATAAAAGTCAACGAGAATGGCACCCAGCCTTTCTTATTGTTTGAATTCCTAATGACTGCCATTCTTTCCATAGTAAGATGCAATCTTAGAGTTGTTTGAATTTCCATTTCTCTAATGGCCAGAGCTGTTGAGCATTTTTTCACCTATTTGTTAGCCATTTGTATTTCTTCCACTGTGAAGTGTTTGTTCATTTCTCTAGTCCATTTTTTGACTGGGTCTTTAATTTTAGGTGGTTTAATTTTTTTGCATTCTTTGTATATTTTAGATATTAGTCTCTGAGGATTAGCTGGCAATATATTTTGTAGATTGTCTATTCATTCTATTGATTGAATCTTTGTTTATAAGAAGCTTTTTAGTCTGATATAACCCTATTTGTTGATTCTAGCTGCTCTATTTCCTGTGTGATTGGGGCTCTATATAGAAAATTCTTTCTTGGGGCTGGGGATTTAGCTCAATGGCATAAGTGCCTGCCTTGCAAGCAGGCAGTCGTGAGTTCGATCCCTGGTACCGATAAAAGTGAAAAAGACCAAAAAAAAAAAAGAAAATTTTTTCTTACTATGTTTTCAAGTATTTCACCTATTTTGTCTCTAATATAGTTGTTTCTTTATGTCCTAAACTTGGGCCATTTTTATTGCCATAGTATTTTATTATATCTAATCAATAGTTTACCTGTTAAAATAGCTTCAACCACTTCCTATGGGAGGATGATTTCCAAATCTAGATTTTTGGCCTCTATCTCTTCCTTGGGTTTTGGATCCACAATTGCCTGAGTTGGGTGAAGGAGCATGTGCCTATAATCCTATCACTAGGGAGACTGAGGCAGGAACACCAGAGTTCAAGGGCATTCCAGACTACATAATGGGACCCTGTGTAAAAAAAAAATTAAAAAATAATAAAATTGTGACATTTAAAAAGACTTCAGTTGTTTGCTTGATGCTTCTATATTCATACATAATCTAAAATTTAATAAATTTGCCTGTTTGGATCCTGATTTCAATCAACTATAAATGAACAAGGAGCTGACTACGGAGATTTGATTACTTGGGTATTTGATGGCACTAAAAGGTAAATGTTAATGTTTTGGTACAATAACTGTATTTGGTTAAGGATATCATTTAGGCAGAAAATCACCATGAGTTTGAGGCCAACCTGGGCTTCATAATGGGTTCATATGGCTAGTCTGAAGTATATAGTGAGACTCTCTCAGAAACAAACAAAAAAACAAAGATTAACTTTTAGAAACAGAAACTCAAATATTTGTGGATGATATCAGATGATGTCCTGGATTTACTTCAAAATAATCCAATTTAGGGAGTGGAACAATAACTAAGGATATTTATAGAAGACTGGCCATAAGCTGATAATTGTTGAATGAGGTAAGTGGTATATGGTATCTTTTTCTACTTTTTTTGTATGCTTGAAAATTGCAAAATAAAAAACTTAAAAGATTAAATATGTCTGAACCCAAATTGATTAACCTTGTGTACATCCTGACAGTCATGTTTCTGAGGCAGTAGAATAGGTCATGACAGACTGGCTAGGGAAGCAGGCTTGATCTTTGTTTAGCTTAAAGTTTGTAGAGGTTTCAGTCCATAATCAGGTTGGCTTGGAAGAGGAGAACAGTACATGGTAGGCAGAGGAACGAGCCTCTTTCTGTCCCTTATATTGTATTCAGTGTACTGGGATTAGGGTGGTACCAGTCCAACCAGCAGACTGATTTAGTAGTCACTCACCCTTAATCCTAGTACAAGCATTGCACCATGAATGATTCACACATTCTAGACTCAGCCACTTCTGAAAAAGTGCCATCTATGGCTGCATAATGTTTTGGGGGGATATCTAAACACAAGCCATAACATGGAGTAAGTTTGCAGGTTTGTTGGTGTTTTTGACACTCTTACCTTGTAACCATACAAATCCTGGCATGAATCTCCCTATCCATTCAGTTAGTATCCAGGCCGTAAAGTTGTTCCACAGGACCAATGAATGTTACTGGGGGCCTCCTATCTAATTCCAGGACTGTTAAACCAGTCTGTTGTAAACTAGTCTTCAATCTATAAAGTTATGATCTATATACACTTCTCAGTGAGGGTCTATCCCAAATATTTGGTAGAATTAGGCCAATGGGAAGAGTGATTTCTTTCTTCTCAACATAAATGGACCTTTCTACTAGGATGTCCTATAGTAGGGATTAGGTAGCCGTCTTTATATCTATGATTGTTGGTATGCATGATAAGATCCTTATTCTTATTTAATAGGGGTTTTAGTAGTGTCTGTAGGATCTTTAAGAGTAGAGTTTATAAGGGGCTGGGGATTTAGCTCAGTGGCATAAGCGCCTGCCTTGCAAGCACGCAGTTGTGAGTTCGATCCCTGGTACCGATAAAAAACGAAAAACGAAAAAGAAAAAAAAGAGTAGAGTTTATAGCCACTCAGGTTACCTTGTAAGGGTGGGCTAAAGTGCGAACCACTGAACTTTTTCATGTCTCATCAATATAGCCTTGTAACTTATTCCAATCATCTCCTTGCAGTTGGTACATCAACCAAGGAAGCCTTGATGTACTTGACAAGGGGAGCAGGCCACATATCCAGCAAGATGTTTGTTGTAACAACTGCATATTCCTGTGCCCAGGCTAGAAAGGAACTATGGTCTCCTTTAAGTGGTAAAATAATTAGTAAAAGGGCTAAGAGTAATGTCTTAAATCACTTATTTTAAGATTTTGTTTTTTTTTTCCTTGAACAAGAATTTTAAATCTGTAGTTTTGCAGAAATATTTGTTTGTTCATATTCAGTGACAGTCTCTGTTTCCCAGGGCTTGATGTAGTAAGGAGTTCGTGTCTGCTGCCTTCACTACTGATGGAGTTGACAGGATCATGGAGTATGGTCTTTCTCAAGTTGGTCCTAGGAAAGGAGATGATGAGGGAAGAGACTTTATCAGTAGTGAATCTCCAGGTTAGAATATGGATTTCCAGGGGCTGGGGATTTAGCTCAGCGGTATAAGCACCTGCCTTGCAAGCAGGCAGTCGTGAGTTCAATCCCTGGTACTGATAAAAAAGGAAAAAGACG